CCCTTTGGACCCAAACATTATACTTAAATTCATTTTATTATCTCTTTGTTAGATACGTTAAAATATAATTATATTCATAACAGATTTGTTTGCGTGCGTTTTATTTATTCATAGTTTTCCGTTCAGACCGGTTTTGTGAAACGATTCAACTGATTTATTGAACAGTTTCGACTCAACGATTCGTTCATTGCTAGCGCTAGCGGAAACCGCTGGGACTGAGCAAGAGCATGTGAGCTGCTCTGGAGTTTAACGCCTTCAAGTAACATATTGTCCATGAAAAATAAGTACGAAGTTTGTTTGTCAGTCAGTTAGGAAAAATATCTGTAAATTATCTATTCTGCCTCTTTGTAGTAGCTACGAGCATGCTAAACTTTGGACTGTTAGACAGAAACTGATCAATATAGTGTTGTCCAGCGTTTATCAGCTTACACAACACTTCAAACATGAAAGTTAATTTCGTCGTGAAGATTAGTAAAACAAATAGAATTTAAATGCTCATGACATTTCTGTCAACTAATTTAAAAATCCCCCACTTTATCTGTTAAGCATTAGTCAATGTTGTTAAGTAAGGTTATAAAGTGTTACAGAAAATGTAGCGTCCCTGGGTTGGGGTCTGTGGGCCAGTAAAGGTGTAAAGTATTTCTGCTTTCTTGAGGGATGTCCTGCTCTGCTCTGGGTCGACGGCTGGTTGCATGTCTCCTGAACATCTCAGAAGCTCGGAGAAGAGACCTGGTGGAGACAGTGGCTAGATCAGCCATCACTGACACACACGGTGAGACGGAAGAAAATGTGCCTTTAATTACTTTCAGATGAATTCAAAATGTATTTTTGTTCCATGTCATTGCACTGAGTTGTGTCAAAACTGTCTGGATCTGTCCTTCATAAGGAAAAAAGCGTGAAGGCATCACAGTGCTAAACATCTTCAATGATGTTGACTACAACCGCTCTGTCATCACTATTGTTGCAAGCATTGACCTAATAAGTGAGTTGCCTGCTCGTCCTTCCAGACGTTTGAATAAATGTCCAGTTGCGATAACAATTGCTTTGTAGCTAATTGTACAAAAGAGGCCATTCTTTATTGTCGTCCATTTTAGGGGAGGCTGTACTGTCGGCTTGTGAGCGCGCATGCTCTCTGATTGACATGAATGTCCATGAGGGCATCCACCCATGCATGGGTGCAGTGGATCTGGTGCCTCTCTATCCACTGGGGGAGGAGGTGGGCCTTGAGGATTGTGGAAAATTGGCCCAGGGTATGTGGCCATGCATGCAAACAAGACATTTAAATGCATCTCCAGGTTGCAAAGTATAAAAACAGTTACAATGTAGTTTTAAAGTATACATAAAATAGAAAAAAACAGCACAAACATCATTAGTTATTTTGGGGTCAACATTGCATTATTGATAGGGACCCATTATTATTATTTTTAGAATTTAGATTCGTGTCAGTGTGAATATGTCAAGTAATTTTTATTATATGTACCTTAAAGTTTAAGCACTGCTGTTTTCTTTCTTTGTGTAGCATTAGCCACGGCTCTAACGGAACGAGTCACAGGTACCAGTGTCTTTTTGTTTGGCTGGGCTGATTCTCCTCAGCGTCGAGGTCTGGCTAAGAGGAGAAAGGAGATTGGCTGGTTCAAAAAGGTCTTGGATATGTCAACCATCCAGCCAGATGTAGGACCACAGCCCACAAGGAAATATGGTGTTACAGGTAACTTTTTTTTAAAGGGTTAGTTCACCCAA